GGGGGGACCTGGAATGGTGAAGCATTTTACTTTCTATTTGGTACCATAATCAGAAGTTTCTTAACAATAAGTAGTAGTTCCATCTATCCACTTCTTAAACATGACCTTGTAAACTTACTGATCTATATATGCTGTTACATATTTTTAGTTAGTTCTTCAGTTCTTTGCATGATTCTGATTCCTTTGAGTGTAATGCAAATTGCATTACTTTAGTTTGTGGGATAGCTTCTTAAATTTAATGATATTTTACATTTTCCTTTATTTCACAGTGAAGAATGAGTATTTGAATTACGGATGGACAGACATAGGTTATTTAACAACACTGTATTAGTTTTAGTTTGATGTTCATGTTCAATGAACTTGAAGTGACTGGAGAGAACGCAGTTGTGGCCTGTTTTGAGGCCTGTCCCAGAATTTATCTGGAAGAACTGAAGAAAACTATGAACAGCATCAGTCACGATAGTCAGTGACCCAGCCGAGATTTGGACTTACCACCTTCCAAATAAAAGTCAGAAGCAGTACCACTCAAACCAGTTTGCCTGATAAGTCTGTGATTATGTGATGAAATACACTATTTGTATGTTAACACAACTTGCATAATTCTTTTACAGATTATCAACATTGCAAGTTCAAGTGATGTTTGTGATCCACACAACAATAAAAGTGGAATCAAAAGAATGCCAGATTCCACAAGTGATGTTTCACTTCCTGTGTTAAAGAAAAGGAGAAAGACTTTACTGAAGCCAGCACTGTTCCCTGTTCAGAGGGACAAAGAACTAGAGAAGCCCTTAGTTATGCCTTCACCAACACATGAACATCAGGTGCAACATTAATTTACATGTTTTATTCATTTAATTCTTTATAAACTTACTATATCTTATATTTTTCTTTGTAATAAAGAACAGTGAATATAGCAGGCATACAATTTATTAAAACCTGAGCTTATCATGTCAATTCTGGGTTACTAACTTACAGTAGGCCACAGCCACTTTCCATCATATCCTTCCAAACTCACCATTCATTACTTTAACTCATGGTACAAAGTGCATATAAGGAATGTATAATAGAGAAATCATGTTTTTTCATTTGTCCATTTGTTTCATCTTTGAAACTGCTTAATGGATTTATATGTATATAATAATTTGGTATCAGAAGTCTGCATTAAAAGTTGTTGGCCAATTTTGATTTGTTTGTATTTGTTAAGTTTAACATTGTGCTCTATGTGAAACTCAAATTACAACTTTTTAATTTTCTCAGAAATGTCTAATGTAAAATATTTGTACAAGACATGAAACACAGTTTTTTTTTAAACTCTGCAATTATTTATTTTAAACATTTTTCAGTATGGTGTATGTTTGACAGAATACAAGGAAAAATAATTTCTGACTCTGTACTTTGTGATAACTAGTGCAAGTAGCACTGCAAGAATAGCTATGCATCTGCAGTAAATGAACAGTTGATTTATTTCTTGATAAGTGAAAAAAGGTGATGGTTCTATAGAAAGTTGGTTGGACATTTGACTAATGTCGATAATTGATAGATGCATAGAAATTTGGTATGTTATACGTCAGTAACTCAGTCAGTGTAGTGGCAGGCTATGGGCTGGGCAATTAGTTTGATTCCTGACACGGGCAGAGGATTTTCATCCAGCCTCTGCATCCAGACCGGCTCTGGGTCCTTTCCCACGGGTAAAGTGTGGCTGGGGTGTGCTGCTGACCACTCACCCCTTTCTAGTGCTGAGGTTGAGAATGAATAGGAGCTATACCTCCTTTTCCCTGTTGGCCTACATGGCACCTAATGGGATGGCTTTTTTTCTTCTTCTTCTTCTTACATGCATTGTACTGTGTACTGCTGGTGCAGGCAGGCACCAAGTTACTAGGATAGGAATGTGTTAAGACTTTTTTTCATTGCATAAGAATACAAATCCAGTTAAATGTGGTTGCCACTTGTTATTTATATTTGTTGCAAGATATATCCAAATTTGATTGATGGTTACAAATACATTGGTAGCCAGACAGCTGAGGTACAGGAATGACGGGGAAGACCACAGACCGATAATGCATGCAGCATCTTGCTCTCCTGCTGTTCTTTCAATCTTTCCTTCTCTTACTGTGACATATTACAGTCTCAGAGATATTTTGCTTCCAAAATACAGGTCATTGTAAAGGGTATAGAAATGTCTTTATGTTGCTTTGTGTGTTGCGGTAGTGGAAATACAATCTTGCTCATCTCCCAGTGGTTGATGTGGTTGTGGACATGTGTCTTGCTCGTGTCCTGCGTCCGCACCAGAGACTGGGCATTGTGTTCATGTATGAGTGTGTAATGGGCATGCGGAAATCACAGTACCATGGTGCCATCTTAGCTGATGAAATGGGTCTTGGGAAGACGCTGCAATGCATTGCTATAGTGTGGTAAGACCCAATATGTATATATTAATGGAGTTGGATCTTCAGGTTTGTTGTAGAGACTTAATATAGTTCTGTAGTTGTTTTTTTTACATACATACTTGCTTAAGTAGTGAAGTAACTTAATAATTAAGTAACTGAAGTACTTACTTGGGTTGGCAGTTATGTAAGAACAAAACGTGTTTTACTCCAGTTAACTTTTTTTCTAAAACCACAAATAAAATAGAGCCATTATAAGGGCTGCTTTCTTGGACCTCTCTTTCATGCCCCTCTCCCTCCTGCTGGCCAGGCTGGGGGATTCCCTCCCCCTCCCCCCACTTACTGGCTCCCAGGCCCTTGCCTGATTCTGACACTCCACTCCTCACTGCTCCAGCCAAGGTTCTGTCTTGACTGATAGTTTCCTATATCTCAAACCAATTCCATGTGCATGACTTACTCATTGGTTTGATGATGGAGGCAGCAAAGACCTCTGAAACTTTAGTAAACTTCTACCAGACTACATGGTGCTACAACCCACAAGACAACCATCTTTGGATTATCATGTTTCTTAATAAGGATATTTTCAGTAGTGATGCAGTGAATAATAACAGCAGTTCTTTGTTACTAAATTATTATGATGGTTAAATATGATGTTGGTAGGATGTTACTGAAGCAAGGTCCATATGGTGGCTGGCCAATATTGCAACATGTTCTCATAGTCACACCAAGCAGTCTTGTAGCCAACTGGCAGAATGAATTTCTTCGTTGGCTTGGGAGAGAAAGAATACAGACTTTTGTAGTTGATCAGGTAATACTTTATGATTGGTTGTTATTAGTGTAACTGTATAGACTGCACAAATTTGTGAAAGAAAGTTAATAAGTTCCCCTGACATTTCATCCTCTATTTTGTAGTCTTTGTTCATAGCAAATGTATTGTTATGTACAGCTTCAATCTTTTACATGTGGCATTTATGTCTGATGTCAGGGGAAAAATTGTTCCTAAGAGGCAGTTATAGGTTATTTATTATATTTGTCATTAATCATGGTACACAGAAAACTACAATTTTTTCACATGGAATGAAAAGTAAGCATCTTGTAATTTTAAGTTTTTCTTCTCTTCCTAAGATATTTCCACCAAATATGGGTTGTCTGACAACCAAATATCTCTATCTGTCCACAGCTCCTCCTCAGTTTCTTCCCATGTTCTTTCTTGAATATGGCTGTCTTCTGGGTTGTTGTGCCATTCCATGTGTGGAATTCCTCCATCATTGCCCTGATGATGGAGGCAGCAAGGACCTCTGAAATGTCAGTAAACTTCTACCAGACTACATGGCACAACAACCCAGAAAACAGTCATCTTCAGACTCTGCTGTAAAAACCTCAAATCCTACATGTTCTTTCTTTCTGTGTGACATCAGTCTTCCTCTGGGGTGTTCTCCTGTCAGTTTCATATGGTTTTTATTCTGTTTCAGAAAAACAGACCCAAAGATTACATAAATCTGCCTCATGTACCTGTGATGCTGATTTCATATGAAATGTTTCTTCGTTATTATGATGACATCTCTCAGATTCAGTTTGATCTTCTCATTTGTGATGAAGGTCACAGACTGAAGAACACCACAATCAGAACCTATGCAGTAAGTACAAGAGATTCACACATTTTTACTCATTGTGTTTTAATGTCAGTTTCTTTTCTTTCTCTGTCCACAAGGTTAATCACATTCTGCTCATTTGGAAGGGGTATTGGTGCACATTATATTCATAAGTAACTTTGAACTGTTAACTGAATGTTTTTATTTTAAGTTTTTAGTATTTCCTGTATTTAATTACTACTATGAGTTACAGATCAACAAAGTTTTGAATTTTCTGGAATTATAAAGCATATAAAGTCGTATCTTCTTAGATACTAATTGACAGTTACTTTAAATTACACAGAATTTTTAGTTATCTGATATTGAATTAACAAGATTTTACTTCATAATAATCCTGATATATTTTGATATTTCCAGTTACTGTATCAGATTGACTGCAAACGCAGAATCCTTCTAACAGGTACGCCTATACAGAATGATCTACATGAATTCTATGCCCTTGTCAACTTCATCAATCCTGGTGTGCTTGGTTCAAGTACAGGTATGTGTCTTTTTGGTGATGCAAAGTAGACAACTGAGCAAGGGAGGATTATTTATATACTACAGTAAGAATGAGTCATAATACCTGTTAGTAAAGTTACTGGCTGTGAGCGATATGACCATATGTTTCTTTTTCACATTTGTGTCCAAACTATTTCTGGGATCCATCCAACCTCCATTTCTATGGGTTACTGAAATATTTTGCTTTGTGATTGTTTGATGCCATCTTTTACTTATTTTATTTCTTTAGAATAATGAAAAGAACCTTATCTTCTCTGAACATACATGTGACATACAAAAGATGACACAATTACAGTTATTATAGCAAGAATGCTGTGATACTTTTATCATGTTCAAAAAGAGCAGCAGGAACGTTTTTTGATCAGTGATTAAGTTATTGATCTTTGGTTTAAAGAATTTCGGAAATATTTTGAAGACCCTATATTGGCATCAAGACAGCCATCTGCTGATGAAGATATAATACATCTGGGCGAACACAGAGCAATGGAGCTGAACCACTGCACCAGTTGGTTTATCCTGCGGCGCACTCAGGAAGTTATTAATAAATACCTGCCTACCAGACAGGAAATGGTAGTCTTCTGTCATAGCACACCTCTCCAGGTCAGAATTGCCAAATGCTGAAATTTGTGCTGATGCTAATATGTTTGGGAAGGAGATTGATGTTGGGTGGTAGGCTGAAAACCTATCTCTGTGAAAGAAACATTGTTAGGAAATGTGAAATAAAAAGTGGAAACCAAGACTTGGTCTGGATTGTAGTGCACTTGATGATGATAGACGTTGTTAGAGAAATGAGTTGAGGATGCAAGCTGAACTGAACTGGTTCAGATTCATATCTACTGGTGGTCTGAAGTATTATCAGTATTTAACATTTTTGTTCTACTACTAGAGTAGTGGAGGGGAAGTAAAGAAAGTGTAACTCTGTTTTGGATAATTTTGTAAAGGTAGAGAGAACTCTGACTTGAAAATGAGGCTTTTCAGACTTTTGTTCATATGAGTTTTTTGTTGTTGTTATTTAACAGTAACAACAGAATATTATTAATTTATGTTGTTATTTTGGCATGTAGAACTCACCCTTATATTTGTGCCGGACCTTTAAGCTAACCATATTTTAGTCAGTTGATTAGATACATAGTTTGTTGGTTACTTAATTAGGTAGCTAAATAGTTAGTTGCTTAGTGATTGCAATATGATATAAAATACTCATGAATCTCTATCATTCTGTCATGCATATTTATTCAGAAGTACTATTTTGGTAACCAACTGGTTGAGTTACATACACTGTGGTGTTGTGATGCAGCAAGCAATGTACAAGACAGCTGTTGACTACTGGGAGAGCCGAGGGTGTCAGTCAGGGCCAGAAGAAGTGGGTCATCTTGGTGTGATAACTGCACTAAAGAAAATCTGCAACCATCCTTCACTGGTTAGACCTCGTCAATCAGAGCAGCTACTAGGAGAGGTACAGAGTGGCACTATAAATTTGTAACAGATGCTTTGTTATGTCTCAGTAGTGCAGAATTTATTAAATGTTTTCTACTTCAGTAAACAGCTGCTGAAGTACTAAGCATTTTTGGAAGTCTTTTTTATATATTGATGTGAACATATGCAAATATCACATGAACTTAATTTTTCAAGAGGTGTATAGAGGGACAAATATTTATTTTATAATACATGAAGTCAAGAACTTCTTCATTTCATGAGCCCTGCAGGAATAATAACAAAAATATGACATGCATACTAAACTTTACACTCATGAGACATACAGTAACAGATCAAAGCAAGAAAGTCATATCTGGATTGAGTGTGGTTTGTTCTGTTACTTTATTTTACACTTCATATTTATTTAAATTAATTTTCAAAACTCATATCTTTTTATATTATTATAGCAATTATTGGAACTGACATGCATATTATCTTTTAACTGAATGTGCATATTAAGTTATAGTTCGTAGGAAAGTTGTATCTAGGCTGACTGGTTTCGTTCCGTTGTTTTTGACCATTTTTCACAACGCATGACAGTAAGAAATTGCAGCTCCATGTGTACAAAATGCTGATCTTGTAATGGTATTATACAGGACATTATTCAGTATCTGGTGCAGAATTATCCAGAAAAAGATGATGCAGTCTTGTCACAAAAATCAGGAAAGCTAGATGTGGTGACGTGTTTACTTCAAGAGTTGAATCGCATGAAAGAAAAAGTGGTACTTGTCTCCTATTTTACACAGGTATAGTAAAGTCAGCATATTAGATAAGGATTTACAAGCAAATAGATTTGAGTGATTCAGCCATGTGATGTGAGTGAAGATAGTTCAAAGTGGCAATGGAATTCAACCAAAATGGGGAGGGGGGGGGGGGGGGGGGGAGCTGTGGAAATGCCAGTAACAAGGCACCACATGGTGATAGATGTGGAAGGGGAAATGAGATATGGACAAAAGTGGCATGCATTTCTTGTCTCTACCATTCAAGATACAGATCTGGCACTCTGATGTGTCATTGGCTTGGCTCTTTTTCAGAAATGCTTTTTTTCCTTTTCCAGACTCTAGATCTTCTAGCAGCCATGTGCGAGCAAAAGCAGTACAAGTTCTCTCGGCTGGATGGTTCAACACCAAGCATGCAGCGTATGCAGATTGTCAAAAGGTTTAACAGCTTGCATTCAGATCATTGTAAGTTTTCTAATTTCCTTTAACTCTATAGTTTGACAGATTTCTGCCAGACTGTGATATGTGGCTATGCCCACATTTTTATAATTTAAATTCAAATATTAAAATAGGGTCTGCATCATGTAATTTAATTTCTTTCACTCACTATCTTCATCACATGATTCCATATTTCTACTCACTCTTCTTTAGCAATACAGGTAACCCTCAATTTGTGCCGATTCAATAACGCCGATTTTGAAACCAGCAAGTCAAAAAGTGGGGGGGGGGGGGAC